AGTGTATTCAAACGGTTGAACAGCGAGGTGTTTATTAATACAATATTTGATTAACCAAACAAATTTACTTGATATAAATTTTATTATTATTAACAGGTCTAGATGAACAAGGGTTATACCGAGTTGGAGGTGTAAGCTCTAAAATAACTAAACTCTTGGCGATGGGTTTGGATCGTCGAAAAACAACTAACGGACTAAACTCGCTAAGCTTTCTCGACGACTGTATTGAATGGGAAACTAAAACTATTACTAGCGCTTTAAAGTTATATTTAAGAAATTTGCCAGAACCGTTAATGACATTTAAATACCATAATGCTTTTATATCAGCTGCCAGTAAGACTTTATTCATTATTAACATAATAATTTTTTTTTTTCATAGCTAATCTTGTCTGTCTTATTTGTATAATCTATTTTAGAACAAGAAATAAGATTGAGGCGTATAAACGATGTACATATTCTTTTACACAAAATTCCAAAACAAAATTTCAATATGTTGGAACTGTTAGTCAAACACTTATGCAAGTATGTTACCACCTATTTTTTTAAATGTAGACTAAACAAACTCACATTCAAATGTTATATTGTAGTGTTGTGACTCATAGTGAACAGAATCTCATGACAGTTAGCAATATAGCTGTATGTTTTGGGCCTACACTCATGAGACCTGAACGTGAAACAGTTGCAGCTATAATGGATATTAAATTTTGTAATGTAGTGGTTGAAATATTAATTGAGAACTATTCAAAAGTAATGTTAATTATAATATTAAACCATTTGAATTGTACTAAAAAAAGCAATTTCACTTAGGTTTTCAAAACTGAACCTGACCTAGAAGTAGAATATGAATCCACTCCGGGACCGCAACAGCCTAACTCGTCACAAAAAATGAAATATTCACCTGTTATCCCAGCAGTTACTCATGTAAGTCAATACAATTAAAGTTAAATCAGCAAGTTTATAATCTATGTTTTGTTCAGGCAATTATAAAATCATACTACGATGGACCAATGTTAAGTACTAGTTTGCATAATGTAGGTGCAATACCTCATAATATTCCGTCACATTCAATACCCATATCTAATTCAAACAGGGTAAATTTAAATCATTTTTATTAAATATAAAGGAAAAATATGTATATAGAATTTATAACACTTACAGTATCAAAATAATACAAAAGTATATATTTTAATATTAATCTATTTAAATAATTTAATCATAATATATTGACTATAAAACAGTTATGATTAATTAAAATCAAGCTTAAAAAAATTAAAATTGATCGCAATACAAGTTTAAACAATTTTAAGAATTAATTTTTTTTTTCAGTTGAGTCTCACATCATCTACTTCAAGTGCACTATCAGAATCCAATCTCCATAATTTGAACGCTTACAGTAAACCCTCGACGCATACTGCAAGTCCAAATAAAAGTTATTACTACAATGTGGATACTATACAGAATACAACTAACACTAGTTCTAGTAGTTCAAATGAATCTGTTTGCTCGGTATTTTCATTGGAAAATCCACAGATGCAACCATCTAGGGCACCGCAGAAAACCAAAAGAAGTATTAAAATGGGTGTACATTATGCAACAAGTTACAGGCCTCAAGATACTGTGTAGGTGTTTTTAGGGAAACAACAGCTTGGATGCATGTATTTTGATCACAAAATAATATTACAGGGTGGTGGGTTAACTGACCGAAATAATGTATTAATGTTTCTTATAATGAAAATATTATTTGTTTTTTTTTTATTATATTAATCTTTACAATTTACTGACAAATTTTTTTGAAATTATGAAACATAAAAAACAAATGTTATTTTTCATTTATAATTTAATATTTAATTTAGTCTAAACCAATCATCTCACCTGATATAATATAATTGAGACGGTTATAAGAACCAGGTTTAAATTCTAACTTACTTTTTTAGAATACCAAGAAAACTTAAGAAAAATTAATATTTTGATCATACTTCTGGCTGGGGTCCATCTGTATTTTGTAAGATGCTTTTTTGCTGCACTTGTTATTATGGTAACATATGATGCTTACTATGATGAATGAATAATACATAATTATAATTATTATTAGAGAATGTTTCACTTATTATGTTGTCTCCAACTTACTTATGTAAGCAAATTGTACGTTAAGAGGATGTCATTGGTTTTCTTCTTTAACCCATGTGCAATTTACAAATGCATTTACAATACATTCTTACATTAAGCATAACAAACCTTGTATTGTTACTGCTCAACGTTTCAAATGTTGCTCATTGTTGTGCTCGGGTGGGGGAGAAAACAAATAGTGCGTTGACAACTCTTATGAAGAATCTGTTTTACTCTTATTTTTAAAATTAAAGTGAATTTGATCACCCAAATTTGATCATCAGATTTAAAGTCAAGAATATTATCTACAGTATCACCAAAGGAGTTTTTTTTTTGATTTTTCAATTTTTATAATAGGTCCATAATTATTTGAATGTTAAAAACAATAGAATAAAACAAATTCTATTTTCCATGTTAAATGTAAGTAATAGGAAGACATCATACGAGGGTATAACATCCTCTTAACCTCAATCCAAAATACATAAACATGATCTAATGCTTTTCCTCAACGAGAGAAATTCTTACAAATCCCTATTTTTTTCTTTAATTTCTAATAATAATACTTATCAGTTAAAATGAACCAATATTGTTGATCAAAAATAATTTTTGTTGGATAAATATAAATTATAATTTCAAGATAGCGGAGTTGGGCCCTTGCTTTTATGAGAGTCTCAATTATTTTATGTATGCAAGAATAACAATGTATTTAAGCACTGACACCAGTGGCGTCATTTGGACTGCGCAAGATATACTTGCATGTTTAAAATTCAATATTATTGTGATTCTAAAAGAGATAAAATTTAGACAAGGCTTTTTTTCCTGCATTGAAATATGCTTATTAAAAATAGAATAATTTAAATGACGCCACTGACTAACACTTTATATTAAGTCACTAATACAATTGCATTACTATGTGTTTTTTATTTTTTTATGGTGTTGGAATAAGTGGTTCGTACCTGGCGTCATTAGTTGGTTGTCGCATTAATCCTCCGTCACACTTAACATTAAGGTTAACACTATGTTTAATTAGTTTTTTTCTTTTTACATACATTAACATCTTTGGTGGCTGTCATTTATACTCAACTATAAAATCAACTATTTAGCATTGCTTGACAAAGGATTAAGGAAACTACTGTGTTTTATCATTTGTCATTTAAATCATATTACTTCACGTGCATTTTAAACTCAAACTTGTGATGTTTTTGTGGATGTAGTGTCATTTCTCTCAGTTCAATAACATTAAAAATTAATATTATAATTAATAGCACTATAAATGAAATTCTTATATGCTACCTTAGAATAAATACATTGTATTAATTTATTTTGTGACGCTATTATCATGTTTTTCAGATAATAACCAAATGTAAACGTATAAACTAACATACTAACAACATGATTAGAAATACACACTGAATTGCATAAGTATGATCTGGAAGTTTTAAATTTCAACCCAGTGGTGTGTCCAACCCATAGTAGATTTTAATGTAGCCCCACATCAATTAATTATATATTATATTATGAAAACAAAATTATCAACATTTAACTAAAAACAAAAATAAAATAAACCTTAAAATAATTTAATAGTATATGAATGTATAATCATTATTGTAATTTGATTAAGATAGCTCAGGTGCCCATTAATGATTCATACGAGTGATCAGATGATTAAAATCAGACTAACGCAACTTCAATCCAGATATTGATTAATTCATCCTACAAAAAAAGCAATTTCAAATTTCATGTTATTTTTTTGATATGTAAAAAAAAATGTTTTTTCTTTTAAGTATAAACAAATGTATTTTTTTTCCTTGTAATTATAAATAACATTTATTATAAAAAATATGGCATATAGGTATGTGGCCCAAAACAACTTCTACTTCGCTTAATGTGGCTCAGCTTTCTCAAAAGGTTGGACTCCCCTGCTTAAATCTTAAAAATTTGACAAATGTTAACAACAGCATTTTCCACTTTTAATTTATGCTTTTTCTTATTCCTTGTACAAAGCTTACTAATGTGCAACAATTTTTATACCACCAAAGTATTTACTTATTTTGTATGTCTAATTTGTACACTGCAACATCGTGCTCGTTTTATGTTTGTAGAAGAGTTCGTACTTTGTATGCATGTCTCGGAGAAAATGATGGCGAACTGTCATTTGAGCCAAACCAAATAATAACAAACGGTACTTCTAATTTTTTTTTGTATAAATTCAGTCATTTGATGAATAATTTCAGTTAATTTTGCTCATTATTATTATTAAGAATCTCTATTTGTTTACAGTGCGGTCTTCGTGTGAACCTGGCTGGCTGGAAGGTACACTGAATGGAAAGACCGGCCTAGTACCAGAAAACTATGTTGAACTATTACCATAATAGTTCTAACTAGATAAAACCTTTTTCCTACTTACTAGGACAAGTGTATTTTGTTTTTAATTTATATTTGTTATTGCTTTTTGTTATGTAATTGGGCCTAAAGATCATTTGTTAATGCGCACATAAATAAAGAAGCAGAGTTACCAAAGAACATTGCAATGCATACTAGGTTTCCGTAACTAGTATACTAACTTCAATACATTCACATCACTGAAGTTTATGTGATCTCAATATTATCATGAATTTTATTCGAGTACAAATTTTTCTTTACATTTTCAGATAAATTTTATTTCATTTGATCCCCCTAAATGTTTGGCCCATTATTTTATGGATACTTTTTTTATTATTATTATTATTATTAGATAATCTTTTTCAAATATTTAACTATCTAAGTTTAAAATTTTATTTTTGTGATAAAATTATATTACTTCATATCATTGGTGTGTAATTCATAATGGACATTTTTATTACTATAATTTATTATATTACTATATGTATTGTATTGTGACTGAAACACAAATATTTTCAATGGTTTTTACTAAGTAAACTTTCTTTATTCCAAAAATGTTTTAATAAATATGTCGATTTAATTGACATGGCTTTTACAATTATATTTTATTAAATTGCTGTTTGAGAATTTGACACAACAGTTTTCATTCCTTCTTCGATAACACTAAGACAAGATCTCCAACTGAAGAACGAATTCCTCAACATTTGCCAACGCTGTTTGCTGAATGTTCTGTACATTGTGCTTGAAATGTTCACTTTTTTCGCTGCCTGATCCATTCGGCCACGTACAAATTTTGTACCAAAAACTATAAAATTAAAAATAAACTTAAATCACATAAATTTTTGTTAATAATGAAAATTAATTCATGTAATCTTACGTTCAAGTAAAAATGGTTCTACTTGTTCAGCAGTTATTTGAACTTGTTGTTGAATCGTTTCAAATGTTATGATGCTAGAGTCTTCAGCCAAACTCATAACAGTCAGTAATTTCATCTTGTGTATGTTAGCTTGATGATCTAATGCTAAAAATATGTAAGTATATATTAGGGATGGACAAACTATTTTTTAACATTAAAACAAATATATTTAGTAAAAACTTAATACAACGGAGTATGCGGACAATTAGCCCCAATCATAATTTGATTCACAGACAATTGATCACAATTTTTCTGTAATACATAGTTCAAAAATAATTTAAATATTACAAACCTTATCCTATAATAATAAATATGGCTCAACTACTGAAATATTGTTTTTGTTGGTGGCACTAAGTGATAAAACAGATTCATTAAATTTATTCTCGTATTTTGTAGTGATAATCTAATTGAATGTTTTTTATTGTGTTATGCTAAATGTTCAATATTGTACGAGGTCAATAAACCAATTGTCTGTATTAAATTATCTCATGGACCAAGTGTTTGCATACAGCGTTTTTTTGCATGGACCAATATTGTTACATACGCCCTAAATTTAACTTAAGTAACCCAGTTTTTGTTGGGCAACAACAATTTTTCATTTCCACTGTCAACCATACACACCTGCTGTATTTTGTACAGCCCATTTATTAAAGCCAAGCCATACTCACTAGCTGACCATCTAGGTTACTTCTTGCATTAAATAACGTATAAGTTAAATATGACTTTTCTTTTTAATTAATTTTTCTTAATCATGATTAAAGAAAAATGTAACAAAAGTTTGCCCATTTCTAATGTAAGATAATATTATATATGATAATGTTATACCTAAAGATTTGATCAAGTCCTTGTGACCTTTGTAGAAATCTAAATAGTTGGTAAGATTTCCGGAGACAAATATAACCAAGAGCTCGTGTAAAGGTGAATTTTGTAGAGATATAACAGGAGTCAAACTCAACAATGGTTCAAATAAGAAAGTCTTAGGGTCAGCAATAGCTGAGACAATACACCTCTTTGCATCATCTTTAGCCTGTTTGCCATCATCAGCTGTGTAATTGCGGAGAAGTTCAATCATAACTTCTGCAGCCAATTCACTAAAAAAGTTATATTATTTGATTTTAAAATACATAAATAGCATATATAAATAGCCAATAGGGAAGAAGCCTGACCTGTGTCCATTTTCAATCAGTGCACTGTGCAATTGTCTTAGGAGAGACTGCTTTTGTTTTTTGGAATGACTGATGGATAGGAGTGATTTGTTTAAGCTATCTATTCCTCCATACACCAACAGGAGCTGCTTGTTTCGTTTGGCCACATCTACTATGTCTGAATACAACTGAAAACGAGCTGGTAGTTTTGGGTCAACTGTTCCATGCAATAACCATAAACTGAAATAAAAAATATGATAGAAAAATAAACTACTTAAACTTATTTGTAATCTCACTTACGTCTTAAGTATGGTATTGCTAAAACGTTCTTCTTCATGCTTAGAAAGTTTCTGACTGAATGCAGTAACAAGGTTACTCTCCACATCCATAGTACCAATTCCAATAATCACTGATACAATAGAACACAAAAAGCTTTCAATATCAGCATCTGACAAGTCTGTCTTTAGACAAGCATCACATTTAGATATGATTTCTTTCATATCTTCTTCAATGTTATCAGTTGCCTTCTCTTGCAAAGTGGCGCCAATGCTACGCAAATAGGACCTTAACTCTAAAGCCTGTGAACAAAATAGTATATTCTATTATGACTTAAAAGTATAAATATTTTATTTCAATTGATTTAAATAGGTAGATGAAAAAAACAGTAGTGAATAAACACTAGAAAAATCACACTTAATAGGCTAATATTATAATTATAATATTATAAAATTATATATATATATTTTTTTTTTCGGATGACTTTCTTAAAAAACTATAATACTCAACACCTAGTTCCTACACTTTTAGTTTCTTCAATCTATGAAAAAATATAAATTCTTGAAACTGGCTTAAAAATAGCTGGACCAAGATAATTTATTAAAATTAGAGATTGATTGTTGCTAACCATTGATACAATTATAACAACAAAGTTTAAAATATGTTTTGATAAATAATGCTTATTAGAGAATGTCTAGCGGCTAATGTTTAAGTACTGGCACAACACAAAAGTGATGATAAGAACCATAAGAAAATATTTATTGACAAAGAAACAAAGTGTTGGAAGTAATATAATATTATACATTATACAATAATAATATGCCATAGTGACTATGGTATCGTGCGGGTGTATCAAAACATATTTTACCCTTATCGATAAACCTGTGACAGTTGTTTGGAGTGTATCTGGCCCATCATATTGTGATCTTTTAAAAAAAAAACCAACGAGATTTAAACGAAAATCGACATGAACATGATAGACGCTAATCCTGGATATGCCATAAAGAGAAGAATTCTTATAATATTATCTGTGGGGTAGGCAATAATTGAATCCGAGCATCCCAAAACGAAACTGCACAACATTTTGTCCAGACATATGAGTGAGGAGGTAGGTAGTCAATTGATTATTTTTTACTTTTATTTCTATTCCTTTCGACACCGCTTCGGCGGATCAAAGACCACCGAGTAATTACGCGGAATGTCCATTTTCGAAGTATATGTTTATTATTGTTTCGCTTACCTGTTCTTCGCGAGACAGTTCGATAAACGTCGGAGGGCCTGCCATCGTGTGTAGGGCGGTAACAGTGAACACAAATTTATATTTAAATAATACTTTGAACGGCCGCGGGTATTCGGACGACGTACAGTGGCAGACGTCGGCGGTGGTGCGATGTGTCGAACTGTTGTGTTGTGATCGCGAAACGAAATCCGTTTCCTAACCTCAATGCTTCGGCGGCGGTCGAAAGGAGATATTCTGTAGATGGACACTTGACAACTTTGAATAATCTGATAATTATAGATTATTGTTATCAAAACGGACCGTGAGAGGTGTCCCCCCTCCCCGTCATTGTTGAATTATAATATTATTACTATTATTATTATTATTATAATTATTAATTATTCCTCGTTTTACGTCGTTTTATGAGCGTGTGATCATTACTTAAACACTGTTCAATCGCCTTCGATTGATTCAATCCGAAACTTGGCGAGAAATCCCTGCACCGATCGACGGGGAAACGAGTGAACTTGCGAAGTCGCATTTCGTGAATTCAGTCATTCTGTCATTCAGCTTTTTTTCGTACAAGTTTGCGCTGCTCGCGGCATTACCGTATACCGCGCAACCGCGTTCCCAACTTCCACTCGTACGTTTTCTTGCATTGTAAAGTTGAATACTTGAATTATACTATTATCTGAATGACTGAACGAGTAAATAAAATAAAATAAAAATAAAAAAGCAAAAAACTACATTGTAATTTCGATGAAACAATATCCGATATCGTCGCTCATCACCGTTGGTAGTGCAACACGATAATATCGTCTTCACGTCTTCCCATCAACCATCATCATCGTCATCTTCGTCGTCGTCGTATTCTCTGTGCGCGTTCAGGCACAGGTTTTTTCAGAGACAGCTAGGGAACGAAACCGAACGACCATCATAAAACATAATAATATATCCGATCCCGATGATATGCGCCATGAGATGGAAGACTAGACGCACAATTTGTTGTTTTTGTTGAATCGTAAATTTTAAAAAATGTAAGTAGGTCATTTTAAGACTGGTTGTCGAACAGTTTTCGCCCCACTGCTGATCCCATGGGTGAAGTGGTGGGAAAGTCAAAAATAAATTTATCTCCGAACTGTTGTTCCACTGCTCGGTGGCACGTTCGACTCGGTGACTCTCATCGTCTATCACTACCATATACATATTATGTAGCTTGAGTGGCAATGTTGGTCGTCTTTTACCTGATCCCAACGTGATGCAACTACACAGGCTTATACTCATTTTATTTGTTTTACAGTTCATCAAAAATTAGCTATGGGTCAGACATTATCAGAACCGGTGACTACAAAGCACACGGAAAGCTGTCAGAACCAGTTTCTAAAAGTTGGCTCTAGCTCTATGCAAGGATGGAGAATCAACATGGAAGATTCCCATACTCATATACTGGCACTACCTGATGATCCAAGTGCCGCATTTTTTGGAGTATATGATGGTCATGGTGGTAATAATTATTTTAAGGCAATAGCATCTACAAATTTAACAGTCGTGTGTCAAAACAAAAACACTTGCACCGGTTTGTGATTAAATATACACTGATGCACCTTACCTATAATGAATATAGGAAAAAAAAGTCTTAATAAATAAAGTAGGTATATAAACATAGTCAATAGCTTTTAAAATTTAAAAATTTGTATTTTAAATGTACTTTGTAAAAATAAATACCTAGTTTACCTATAGAATACAATCAATGACTTGTGCATTGATGGAAAATCTAATGGTAAACCAATTTTATCTGCTTGTTTTTTTTTTGTGCTATTCAAATCTCTTGCAGCATCTTATGCTTATTTTGTTCCATTCACACACAGGTATTTCATTTTTAATTTTCCTAATTACTTTTCAACTCACTGAATGCTTGTGTCTACATTAGTTATAGTTAGTTAGTTAGTTATATAGCTTTATAAGCCGATTATTCCACCATTAAATGATTATTTGGTCAGAAGCTGCCTGCTAATCTCCTGAAGTGATAGTATTAACCTTCCATAAAGCAGATGAATATATAGGTGTCTAGGTGCAGGCTCTTTGTAATTAAGTGAAATGGCTCTCTCTTAGTGGATATTAATGTTTTTGGTGTTGTTGAGTCTATACTACCTGATAATAATTATTTTATTTTACATTAGGTTTACAATTGGTTATTGTGCTATTTATGTTCAATTTGTGTAAATTAAATTCTAGGTATCATAGCTGTATTTTATTGTCGTTGAGGTTATTATTTATTTCATTATGAGTTGTATTACTGAACTCATCGGTGTGAGAATAAAGTCTATTGCACAAAAAAAAGTAATATTAATTTGCAATTTAAAATACTTCCACCATAATGACCACTTTTAAAGTTTTTTAATGATATTTCTTATTTTTATTCAAATTATCTATACTCTAACAGCTTAATACTGTATTTATTATACTTCTAAAATTAGTTTCTCCTAAATTCAATTTTTTTCTGAGGACATAATTTTATTTTATAAAACTATTAAGCTATGCCATGATCAAAATAACGTCTTTTTTAAATTTAATTATTCTATTTTTGTTAATATAATGCTATATTTTAATTTAGGTGCAAGGATAGCACAATATGCTGGCAAGCATTTACATAAATTTATTACCAAGAGGCCAGAGTATGAAGAAAATAAAATTAGTGATGCCTTACAACTGGTAATATTGTGCTTTAAATATTCCAAGATAGCATTAAAAGGATCATGTATTTTCTTTCCAGGGTTTCATGGATATGGACACTGCTATGGCTGAAGATGAAGTTTTAAAAGATGAGCTTGCTGGATCAACTGCTGTAGTTGTTTTATTAAAAGATAAAAAAATGTATTGTGTAAGGAAAAATATATGTTTATTTTATCTGAATTTTATTTTCTAATTCAATATTTTTTAATTTAGGCAAATGTTGGAGATTCGAGAGCTATTGCATCAGTAAGTGGTGTAGTTGAACCATTATCATATGACCACAAGCCAAACAATGAGTTAGAAACCAAAAGAATCGAAGCAGCTGGTGGTTGGGTCATGTTTAACAGGGTGAATGGCAACTTAGCTCTATCCAGAGCTCTAGGAGATTATATTTTCAAAAAAAATGACCAAAAAAAATTAGATGAACAAATTGTTATTGGTAAGTCTAATTGATCGAATGCCTTAAATCTTTGTAAAGTATGTGAGGTAAAAATAAATGCCAACAGTTACATTTTAACTACCCTTATCTGAGTGCATGTCAATAACCCTATAGTCTCAACAAAGGCCTAAACGATCTAAAAGAGGCAATCTAAGACATTCATAATCTCTAAGTGTCTCTGACCTCTTAAAACCTAAGACCGTGAAAAATGGACAAAGGAATGATTATATCCTACAAAAACCTAAGTTATCTAACCACTTTTTTATATCTAGTATCAGAATATTTTTTCTAAAAATGTGTAAGTATGAACATTAGTTATTAAACCAACAGTTAATAATTTATTTGAATAAAGCAATAGACAGAAAAAAAAACCGTAAAAATAAGAATCAAACTTTTATATTTTGCTATTAAACATTTTTTTTTTTTTATTAGCTTTTAGTTTTACTATTACAGCTCAAAAATTATCTAAAACAACATAACTTAATAACAATACAATATTTTTAAAAAAAAATACAAAAACTTAAAACAGCAATTAACTTAAATCATTTTTTATTAGACACTAATTTTAATTTTTTATACTGGCAAACTTAGCGTGACAACGTAAATGGATCTCATTCTATAAATTGAATAATAATAATTTAAAGAAGGCTCATTAATAATTTTTTTAATATAAAATATCTTATTTTAGAATGAAATATACATGGTACATTTAATGTAATTTAATTTCTAGCCTGGCCTGATATTGAAGTAAAGCCAGTTACAAAGGATTTAGAATTCATTGTATTAGCATGTGATGGCATTTGGGACGTAATGACTAATGAAGTAAGACATGTTTTAATAAATAATAATTGTGTGTTATAACCAGGGATCAGATTTACATACAAATGTATATATGTATTGGAATAACCTATTTAAAATTTATTTTTTAATTGTCCCCAATTTAGATCATTCCCATTATAATAACACTAATTGTATTTTGCGTATTTCAATTATTTTAACCTTAATTTGCATATACAATGCATATTTTTGTCTTATTGTATATATTTATTATATCTTATATTTTCACTTACAATACCACATAATTTTGATAAAATTATGACCGATCATAGCCAAAGATAAGACATTCTCATATGCAACATATAGATAAATTCATATGATAGTTTAAATCTTCGACAATAAAAACAAACTGTCAGTGTCATGCGTTGTCCATATTATTTTTACGTGTAAAATTGCATCAGTTTTTATGTCTAGTGATTCTATGTCTAGTGATTCTTGATGGCAAAGAACTTAGTGAAGACTATAAAATACCCTTTTTTAAATTAATTTAATATGCATTTTATTTATTTTTATGGTTTTATTTTAACTGCATATTTTGAGGATATTTTGTGCACATAAATACATTCTTTAGTTAAAACCAATGGTTATACACATAATGGTTATTAAATAATAATATATTATATTTATCTTACGTTGAATCTAATTCAAGTTCTGCATTTACTTATTGCAAATTTAAATAAAAATAAACTAAATATTAACCATAATAATTTATAATATAATATTAAATACTATGTTCATATATTTTTGTTTTGTTTTTCTTAGGAAGTTGTTGAGTTTGTGCGTTTCCGTGTCAGCAATGGCATGGAGCCCGAGGATATATGTGAAGACTTAATGACAAGGTGTCTAGCACCTAATGGTCAAATGGGAGGTCTTGGGTGTGACAATATGACAGTTGTGATAGTTTGTTTTCTAGGAGAAGGGCGTACTTGGAAAGAATTACAAGTTCAATGTTCTAAACCTTCAGCTGCAGAATCAAACAGCCCAAATAGCTCCCCAACATCAAGTCCCAAATCCAAGCACTAGTATTTTCTTGAGCATTGTTTTATTTATATTTTATTTTACTTTGGTTCTCACACATCATTTGTTTTCTGGCAATAAATTAATATTAATAATAATAATAATAATAATTGTGTACATAATAGCACTGGGATAATATTTTAAATTGTTTGTGTCATAATATTATATTTTACTTAACATTTTTTTCCTTTTTATAATTGTCTCTTGTAGATAAAAAGTAATATAATTGCCCTATATAAATCCCAAGTCATTTTTGTA